TGTGTTTGCTTGAATTCTTAACTATATAATTGGCTGTTATGAAGGCAAACACGGGTGATGCGGAGAAAAGAAGCATCATTGTTAGAGAAGCATCTTTTTAAAAAAACAAACATCTTACCTCTTTAGTGAACTGCTAAGACATCAGCCATAGCTCCAGCCAGAGAGTGCAGCTGTTTTGGGGATTCTGGTAGAGAGAGAGAGAACTAACCTTTATTACGTGCATCCATAACACTTAGCATAACACCCAGTAGGATCAGAATCTTTGTATCTCCCGCAACACTAGAACACAACATCCACTTCAAAGAGTGAGAACTGAATAAAGAGATCACAAATAAAAAGATTACTAGAGAAGAGTACAATGAGCACAACCTCTTAAATAAGCCATTGTCAATTTATACTCAGATTATTACAAAATGTGACTAAAGCATTCAGATTTCTTTTTGCTGAGCTAGTCAGCAATGTCCATGAGGAAATATGCAATGGCATCATGTTTATTCAGAATGAGAATCTGAAAGGCAGTATTGTGTGCTGGGAGCAAAATCAACTGCCGTGGAAGTGGGACTTGTAAAAGATTAGGTTGGCTTCCTGCAAGATAGGTTGAAACAATTTTTTTAAGATTCAAACACACCCATCCATACACACCCCACAGCATGCTTCAAGTATCCTTCCACCAAAACACTTCAGACTTATCTACTTCATTTTTTATTCTGATAGTATTTCTAAGAGTAGGTAGAGGCAGGGAACAGCTACACCAAGAAGCTGTCTCATGGTCATTTGTGTTGGGGCTAATCTTAATAAGCTTAGATTGTGTGACTCAATAGAGTATATTATATAGAACTAATAGAAAAAGTTCTCAACATTCTTGAAGGAGTATTAATATTCTTATAGATAGCATGATTTTACAAAACATTTCATGTAAATTTATTTGTTCTGTGCTATAGTCTTCTCATCTCTAAAATAGAAGTGATGATAGTAATAGTGACTTTCACCTGATGACCCAGTCAGTAAGTGGCAGACTCAGGTCTTACGGGAACAAAGCTATTTTCAACAAAAGTCCTTACTTCAGTGTGAAAATAACCAGAGCATCACTGAGATCACAGTACTTTGCAGACAATAAATACTTGTAAGTGAATGAAGGAATGAATACAGCATTGTAAAAAGGAGTCCTAGAGATTGCTTCTTGCATTTTAGGGTTCAGGAGATAGTATGAATGTCACTGTAATAGACTTTGTTATCAATGACAAAGTTACAGCACTATTGGGACTAGTGCTCTCTACATATTCATATTCATGCTTTATCACCCTGAAGTTCATTTTAAGGAATAGGTTCCTACAGTATCAAGAATAATAGTGCCATCTAGTGACACTTCTAGTTATTGTCTCTAAAATTGCACATGACATCTGTTATTAAAAAGATTCACTTAAGAGATTAAGGACAGAGTGTGAAATGTGCAACTTGTGATCCTCACCATTTTGTTTCCCAAGAAATCTTTCCTCAAAATTTTACTATGTGATAAACTTTCACAATCTCATTCATACTTCCCAGGTGACATATATATTGGGCCTATTCACTCCAGATTTTTCAGTAGTTTGTATGTTTATATTTCAAAGACTATGTTTCTTTAAGATCTATCAATTTTAAGGTGCAACATTGATACAATTACTTTTCAGAATAAAAAATATTAAATATAAACATTGACTGTAAGACATGTTTTCAAAAACATTAAAATGTAAAACACAAAAACAACAAACCAAATTTACAATAAATTTTATTACTCAAGTATTTATTCATATACATATTGAATTTTAAAAATTATTTTTGTGCAAATATTTTATCAGGAAAGGTGATTCATTAAATATATAATTAAGTATAATTTCACTGTTGAAAATATCAATGGTTTTCATATATATGATATATATAGTATAGCATACATAAATTTGAAGTCAAACAAAATTTTAGTCAGGTATCAATAATCACTAATTAGTTATAGGTTTAATGAGAAGCACTGTATCTCACTCAAAAGTCCTGGAGCTCTGACCAGTTTGGCTCAGTGGATAGAGCATCAGCCTGTGGACTGAAGGGTCCCGGGTGCGATTTCAGTCAAGGGCATGTACCTTGGTTGCAGGCACATCCCCAGTAGGGGTGTGCAGGAGGCAGCTGATCAATGTTTCTCTCTCATCGATGTTTCTCTCTATTCCTCTCCCTTATTCTCTGTAAAAAAATCAATAAAATATATTTTTTTAAAAAAGTCCTGGATAAGACAGTGTCTAGGTATATAAATTGAGCAAGTAAAGTATTCCCACTTTTATAATGGGATAACAATGACTAACTTATCTACCTACTAGAGTTTTGAGGAACAAATGCAATAGCAAATGTTTTTAAAACTACTCTTCGGAGGTAAGAAATTAGGGGTGTTATTTCCAATAATCATTTTACTGGGAGGGCAGGTGCTAGAGTTAGACTGCCTGAATCCAAATTATGGTCCCGCTGCTTACTAGTTAGGTAACCTTGGATAGTTATTTCTCTACTCCTCAGTGCATCATATGTAGAACAGGGATAATAAAAGTACCTATCTCAAAGGGCAGTAGTGTAACATGCTTATTAGCACACAGTAAACATTCAGTAGTTTTAACTACATGATTACACACACACACACACACACACACACACACACACACACAACATTCCCACTTCAATGGCCAAGGGATCAATTGTCAATTTAGGAGATCGTCACTATGTGATTCTCAAGAAAAATATTAAATAGAGGGTTTTCATTGTCATCATTAATATTTATTGGACCCTAGAGAGGAACAATGTCAACTGTAATTGAACCAATTAAAATTACAATGTAAAAAACCCATAAGGCATTTAAGAAACAACTAAATTTTTCTTGTTTTTAATCTTGAAAACTCTACCACCACCCTCCTCACCCCCCACCCCAATTTTTCAAATCTGGCTTCAAACAAGAGCAATAGAATAAATGTAATTAAAATGATGCCAAGGAGATGGTAACAAGGCAGGGCTGGAATGGAGGAAATAGGTAGGACAAGGAGAGGCATGCCACAGCCACCTCCTCTACCATTGCCCGAGCCCAAGCCGCCCTCATATCTTGCTGGGACAGTGACAGCTTCCTAATAGGAAGCCTTCTCGCTTTTATCTACTCTTGCCCCTCCATTCCATTCAAAGCAGCAAGGTCGAGTTTTCATGTTTCTTCCCTGCCCAAAGCCCTGATTTCCCACTTAGACTACACAGCAAATACCATCCCTATATTCTTCTCTTGTCCTAAAGCTCCTGGCACATGTGCCTTGAAAGGACCCATCACTCCTGAGGCCCTCTGTCCCATAGTACTTCAATATGACTTCAATATGAGCCTGTGAGAATGTGAGCTCCCGGTGCAGGGGGTGGGAGGCTGGGGGGCAGCATCCTTGTTTGTTCTCCCTCCCACCCCCCACCCCCCAGTTGTTTATCACCAACACTTAAAACAGTGCCTGGCACATAACAGGTGATTGATTTATTCATGATCAAGATTACCCCAGTCTATTTCTCCCTTTCCTTACACATAGTCATCACTGGTTTTGACACTGCACGGTGACTTTCAGCTTGGAAGTAGAAAAGGTAGCCAGATGGGGATTTTTAAAAAAATTGATTTGAGGAAGAGGGAAGAGAGTTGTTCCACCCATCTAAGCATTCATTGGTTGATTCCTGCACATGCCCTGACCAGAGATTGAACCTGCAACCTTATTGGTATATGGGATGACGCTCCAACCAACTGGGCTACCCATCCGGCCAAAGCCAGATGTGGATTCCTGTACTTGTGGCACCAGGAACAGATGCTTCAGTTTCTCTAAACTTCAGCCCTCATAAAAGAGCAAGGAATAATACCTCCCCTATTAACCTTTTAGGCTGTGAGGGTTAGATAACAAATATGAAAGCTCTTATGAACTGTGAAACACTGTACTAACCACAAGAGTGGAACTGCTCTCATTTTAAAGATGAAAAAAAAGTCCAGAAAAAAATTGAGTGACAGCAGCAAGTGACCAGGATTTGCCTAACACACCAAGCTCTAACACACAAATATTAAACAATATGTAATTTTAAGCAGACATTATACCAAATGAACACTTTTAAGTGAAGGAATAGATGTTAAAACCACATTGGAAACTTTAAAAAAAATTACCCCTTCTTAGGTTCCTCCCATACTTGTAATAGTGCTTGGCGCCTTGAGGATTTTAAACAAGCTCATAGCGGCCTTATCTATGTTTGTCAGTCCTTCCTACAGTTTACACCACATGGATTGCCTTCAAAGATTGAATTCATTATAATCTTGTCTTCTATTTTTTACCTGGATAGAATTTTCTGAAATTCTGTTCACATAATCAATTTCCAAAACAGATTTTAAATTTCAATAAATTACACAATTATGTTAGAAAGTAATGGAAATATCTTGACCTTTCAGGCATTTGGGGCTTTTCACAGAAACAGCACTCTATGCTGTGGACTTAGGCATCCCAGGTTGGAATTCCAACTCTCACTTCCTAACAGTGACTCTGATCAATCACTCAACTGCTCGGAGCTCAGTTCCCTCACCAGGAGTACGAGGCTAGTAGAAATCTATCTCCCAAGGTTGTTGGGAAGATTCAATTAAAATCGTCTATGTGCAATACTTTACACATGGTAAAGGTTCTTTTTTTCAGTTTTTCGCCTCATCTTCTTAGACTCTTAAGATCAATGAAATGTTGAGTGTTTTCTCAGATACATTCTATATTTATAATTTAGTAGTTTAAACATATGACTTCCTAGAAGTGTGAAAGAAAAAAAAAAGGCTAACTAGTTTTTATTGCATAATGATGTTAATTTGACCACTGAGCCACACCGGCAGGGCTATACTTAAAAAATCAGTTTAACCATGAAATCTAAAATACATAAAGTTGAAAATATGAAAATAGTACTACCCCCACCTATCACTTAACTTTTCATTATACTCCATTTGAGTCAGCGTAATTTTTATTTCAAAATAGCATTTTTATTATATAAAAATGTAAAAATCCAGCAAAACTAGAAATACCAAATATATTTTCCTGGGCTTTCACATTGGTTGATTTTTATTTGCAAACTCTTTTTCAACACAATTTACAACCTTATCCCCATCTGCATTCTGATTATACAAGTGCTAAGTGGCAGAAAAGTCTAGAATAAATACATAAAAAAAAAAGAGGCAAAGCTGTGAAACTAAGTTGCATGCAACAGGTCTGTGAGGATGGGGGAAAGTGTCGAGGAAATAAAACAGAGTAAGACAAAGTAATTGGAAGGAGTTAGCTAAAGTTCTCTCAGTCATCTTTATCTTTAGCTCCATGTTTAAGGATGCGTGTGAACTCAATGTAATTGAAATTTCCCTTTTTGTCAATAGGCGCTTCTCTGTACAGCTCATCCACTTCCTCATCTGTAAACCGATCTCCCATTGTTGTCAGCAGCTCTCTCAGGTAATCTTCCTGAATGGTGCCTGGAAGACATACAAGGAAGGGAGTCATGAATACTTCCTGGAACTTTAATGGTTAATTTCTACACTAGGTCAATCTTACAAAGTATTTCAGAATATACATATTTAAACGAAAAAAATAGTGAACTAAGACATTATGTAACTATATCATTATGTTTTCCTATTACTTTTAGAGTTCTTTACAATATTATATTAAACTAGACACCTGGTGCATGAATTCATGGGTTCCCTCGGCCTGGCATGTGGGATCAGGCCGAAACCGGCTCTCCAACATCTCCTGAGGGGTCCCGGATTTCGAGAGGGGGCAGGCCTGGCCGGGGGACCCCATTGGTGCATGATCGGGGCTGGGGAGGGACGAAGGAGGTTGGCCAGCTGGGGAGGGACCGTAGAAGAGCTCCAGGGTGTGTCAGGCGAGTCTTGCTCAGTCCCAATCAGCCGGACCCCAGCAGCAAGCTAACCTACTGGTCAGAGCATCTGTCCCCTGGTGGTCAGTGCACGTCATAGCGAGCAGTTGAGCAGCCTTAGCATATTAATAGCATATTATGCCTTGATTGGTTGAACGGTCGACCAGACAACTGGACACTTAGCATATTAGGCTTTAATTATATAGGATCATTAAGAAGTTTAGTTAACAGATTATATGCATGAATGATGGTACAGCTTTGACAGAAATGGGGAAGCAGGAATAGGGTGCAAGGTACATCTGAGGAGGTGATGTGGATACTGAGTTAATGTAGGGTTAATACAGAAGACAAGACGAAAATGAAAGAAGTAAGAAAAGTGAATAGCTAGGCTTTACATACTTCAAAATGAGAAGGGGAAAACACCCTAAAATTTTAATAACTGAAGTTTGTTAACTCCAGTCATGTGCTGCTTAATGGATACATTCTGAGAAATGCATCATTAGGTTATTTCATTGTTATACGAACATCAGAGTGTACTTTCACAAACCTAGATGGTATAGCCTACTATACACCTAGCTATAGGTATAGCCTACTGCTCCAGGCTACAAGCCTGTACAAACAACATGAGATTAAATTAAGCACAAGATGAAATGATGCAATGAAGGGATGCAATAAACACGAGATGTATGAGGCTGCTGCTGTTCTAACACACAGCATACTGCTTTACAGCAAACTTTTTTTCTTATAAGTAGAAATAGTACACTCTAAAATAACAATAAAAAGTGTAATATAGCCCTGGCCAGATAGCTTAGTTGGTTAGAGCATCATCCTGATACAAGGTTGAAGGTTCAATCCCCAGTCAGGGCACATACAACAATTAACCAATGAATGCATAAATAAGTGGAACAATATATCAATATTTCTCTCTATATATAATCGATCAATAAAAATTTAAAAGAAAGTATAGCACAGTAAATACATAAACTAGTAACAGTCATTCACTGTCATTATCAGTATTCTGTACTGTACATAATTGCATGTGCTATGCTTTTATACAACTGGCAGCGCAGGTTTGTATATACCAGCCTCATCACAAACATATGAGTAACGTGTGCACTATGATGTTAAAATGGCTATGACATCACTAGGGAGACAGGAATTTTTCAGCTCCATTATAATCTTGTGCGAACACCACTACTGTGCTATTGGTCATGATTGAAGCAACTGTTATGTGGCACATGACTGTACACTTTCTGGTGTGATATATAGTCTCTTGAAGAAGTTGCTTTTATTGTTTCAGAACTACTATTTAACAGACATTCTCTTTGGCTTTCAGGAAGCTCAGATCCAAATTCAAAGAGTAACACCACAAATTGTGTAGTTTTATAACCTACATACATCTGTGTCCTAGCTATTCTCAGTTATACGGTCCCATTGTAAATAATAGTTTCCCTTTATTCATTTTAAAAAAATGTGTAATTTACTAATGTTTTTTTTCTTCTTTTTTTTAAAAAAAATATTTTTATGGATTTCAAAGAGGAAGGGAGAGGAAGAGACAGAAACATCAATGATGAGAGATCAGCTGCCTCCTGCACATCCCACACTGGGTATCAAACCTGCAACCCGTGCATGTGCTCCGACCAGGAATCGAACCTTGACTTCCAGTTTCACAGGTCCACACTCAACCACCAAGCCACGCCGGCTGGGCAACTAATATTTTTCATTTCCGAAAAAATGTTTCAAACAGTTTGGAATAAGGACATAAACAAAGAGCACCCACCGGTTGCTTCTTCATCAAAGCAAGCAAAAGCATTTCTGATGACATCTTCTGGATCTGTGCCATTTAACTTCTCACCAAACATTGTGAGGAACATGGTGAAATTTATGGGCCCTGGAGCCTCATTCATCATGGCATCAAGGTATGCATCGGTTGGATTCTTCCCTATAAGAGTTCACATTATAACATTTAAGGACAAAGATCTAATTTCAACAAATAATTGCTGTTATTCCCCCCAACACATTTTAAAAGGTATATCATCCTCACATGAAACTAATTTTTCGATTAATTGCATTAAGGCCATTTTAAAAGACAACTTATGACATCATAAAAAAATCTCTGATACACCATTATAAAAATGTATGTATAAAAATGGGCTTAAGTTGAATGTTGCTCATTTATTGATATTTTCTATAACTTTTCTTTCACTATTTTAAACAAAACAAACACTTAAAACTATGGTCCAGGCAATGACATGTTATTCATCTTGAATGTTGATAACATAAAAGGCCATCAGGGCATTTCAATACCAGTTATTAAAAAAAATCTAAATGTTCATATATCCAATTGTGGTATAGTTGCCCATGAATTGGTATGCTTTAAAATTTTATCTGTTGGTCATTTAAGTGAAAACTATTAGGTCGGTTTAAAATTGGGAGATTATGATTATTTTGAACAATGTTACAAACTGTTTGATTGCCATACATACTGCCATATGCTGTTGATTCATGTCACTAACTTCATTCTTGTTTAGTACTGTTCATATTGGAAATCTTAATCTTGGTTCCAACTAAGAGCACTCTCCCTCTTCTAGTGCAGTAATGAGGGAAGTGCCCTGACCCTTCTCTCAAAGTTGGGAGTAATTCCTCTGGAATGGCCACGTATGGTAGGAGTAACAGTGAATGAGAGGTCTGGAATAATGGTTTGAATTTCAGTTCTGCTGCTGGCTGTGTGAACTGGGAGAAACTGGCAGGTGTCTAGGGTTTACTTTTTAAATCTGTAAAATAGACTGATTAAATTTGGTATCTGAAAGGTTCCTTCTAACATTAAGTTTGTATGATTCTCCATGAAAAGAACATCTGTAAGTTAGATATTCATATCTAAGGAGGCACCTCAATATTACATCCAAGTGCATTTAATGATAGTCAAATCTAGAATTATGGTTCATATGTAAAGTTTTAATCCTGGGAATCTGGGTGAAATTTAAATGCCAAGTTGGTATCTGTCTTACTGCTTTACAATCTTCACTCATACCTAATCAACACACCAATACAAAGATTAGCCCAAAATTAATCTCTAGATTCATTGAATAAGTAAAAATAAAGAAAATGATCTACTTTTCTACCTTCAGATTTAATCCAACTCTCTTGCAGCATTTTTTTTTTTTTTTTAAGTATAATCCAAAGGTGTCAAGAGAACATGGGTACAAAAAAGACACAGGGATTTATAATGAATTGGTTTAGGCTAAACACCTATGGACCCATTCAAGGCATACATTATAATTTGTTGATTTGAAATGTAAACACATGCCTTAAATGGATGGGGCTCCCCAAAATAGAAGGCCCCAAAGTCAACTTCTTATACTACCAGCACTCATAAATTATGTGAGCATGTACTCTGATCATGATATAGGCTTGAGTGTTCAATCTTTGTAATATAACTAAGTCTCTCAATTTTCTTCAATGGGCTTCTTCAGTACTGACCTGCCCAGAGAGTACCCTTAGTTATTCTTAGTGGAAAACACTGGGATCCAACCTACCTGCAAGTCAACAAATTAGATCAGTATCTTGATTCTATTCTTACTCTACATAAAGGAAATGTCACAAAATGTTAACACTGCTAAAAGATATGCATATGTTCATTATATTTGTAGGCTTAAATTTTTCAAAATAATATCTTAGGAGAAAAAAATAAAAATAAGACAGAGGAACAAATTGCATTGTGGTAACTAAAAGAAAAAATATAACAACCTCTTTTTCTTTGCTCTCTGGCTAACAGTCCAGCACAAGAACACTCCAGAGTGCAGAGCCTAACTGCAGGCCATCCCTGAGCTGCACCCTGTTCCCTGCCAGTCACTTTGGTCTATCAAGAAGCAGGCTTGTTATTCCTTTCTCCACATCTATAAAATTAGTGCTGACTGGGTGCACAACACAGAGGGCCTTTTGGGCCTTCTTTTTAAGACCAAAACAAACAACAACAATATCATAGAAGGAATATTAAAATAATACCCATAATAAAAAAAATAATAAAGGGCAGTTTATGTTTACTTTTTTTTAAAATATATTTTTATTGACTTCAAAGAAGAAGGGAGAGGGGGAGAAAGAGAGAGAGAAACATCAATGATGAGAGAGAATCATGGGATCAGCTGCCTCCTGCATACCCCCCCCTACTGGTGAAGCCTGCAACCCAGGCATGTGGCCCTGACCGGGAATTGAACTGTGACCTCCTGGTTCACAGGTCGACGCTCAACCACCACGCTACACCTGCTGGACTACTTTAAATCCTTTATCTTTACATTTTCTTTTTAGTTATAAAAAAAATTATAAATAAAATTGTGAAAGTCCCCTTTCCTGTGTTCCCTTTTCCAGTAGCACTGCCCTTCCTCTGATACTATCATTTATTATTGTTACTTCCTACCTATAAACTGTCCTCAACATTTATTCCTAACTGTGCTATATTATTAGTTACACATTTTGTTATAAATTCCAATATTTTGCCACCTAGCCATCTCCTGGCTGTTCGCCTGGTAGACCTATGGTATTTAGCCGAGAGGAACTGAGGCCCACCTGGCCAAGTACCTGCCAGGTCCCCAACCCCACGGGCTTACCCTCTTATGACTGGCCAAACCCCAACATGGCACCTCCCACCCAGGCATTTCTCAATAGGCTTTGGAGACAGGACAGAAATATTTGAACATCACACAGAAAATAATTCATAGAATGCTGAATTATTATTTTTTGAAAGCAGGCATATTAAGAATATAAAAGTCTACCTAGAGAAGCGAGCATATCATGCAAATCTTCCTTGTCAATGAAACCATCTCTGTTCTGATCAATCATGTTGAAGGCCTCTTTAAACTCCTGAATCTGTGACTGGTCAAACATGGCGAACACATTGGATGTTGCGCGCTGGGGGCGCTTCTTGGTGGTCTTGGTCTTTGCCTTTTTGCTCGACATTGTGGCTGCTTAATTCTAGAGTTAAAAAGCAAAAGCAAAAAAGAATGCATAAAACATAAAGCAAAAACAGAATTTATAATACCTAAAGTTAATGAGTAAAAATATCTTAATGTAGAATTATTACTTTATTTGAGCAGTAATAAATAAATATTTAAGCTCTATTTCCAATCTGACAATTAAATGGCTAGGGGAAAAAAGCAGTTCTGAAGAAATTAAGAAACAATAGATATTATTGATGTAGCTCCCCCTAAAATTTCATTAAACCCATATTTATTAAGTGGGAATTAATTTTAAAATATGTAACAACCTAGCATTTACTGAGTGCTTACTATGTGCCAAGCACTGTTATGAAGACATGGGGCTCCCCTAAAGAGAAAGGCTCTAAAGTTGATATCTTATTTTTACAAGGATTGTCTCATTTAATCCTCACAACAATCCTCCATTTTATTTATTTCCATTTTATTACCAATGTTGCATAACTTCTCTGAGCCTCAATATTTTCAAAACACGGTTTGAAAAGAAGGGAAGCCCATTCAATACTCTTGTTTTACAGCAAAACACAATATCTACTCCAGTGCACGTAAGAATTAAATGAGATAACATACACAAAGAAACTAGTATAGTCATGTATGGTGCATGTTAAAAAGGCTATCTTTAAAAAAAAATCATCAAAATCTGTTCTTTAATCTTGCATCCCTCTTGCTACCTTTTCTTTTCCCATTTCCCTTGACAAAACTTTTAGATTAATACTCAACTGTCCCCATTTTCTCATCTTCCCAATAACTCAATTCTCTGTAAAATGGTGTTGGTAGTAGCCTCCAATACTCTATTGAAAGCCACCAATAATTTAAATGCCAAAAAGAATGAACACTTTTCATTCCATTTTTTATTTGTAATTTTAATTAACAAAGTCCTGAGTCTGAATCTTAACTCCACCATTATTACCACATATAACCTCAGAAAACCCAAGGACACCAGAGTAATTTTTTGATCCAATGTTTATTCAATCTTCACAACTTCCCTATGAGATAGATACTACCTAGGTTAAAAAAAAAGGGGGGGGGGCCCTCGTGCAGTAAAGAATTTAATTTTGCCAAAAGAAAGGTTTGGCCTTTGTCCCTGGCTCCTGCGAAGTAATCTCTAAGCCCTTGAAATGCCACGCCTGATATCTGGAATCTTGGGTCACACTAGATTTCTAACAATGTGATTTACCATGGGGGTTTGGGGTCATGTGTTATCAGTTGACCTCTAGAGGGGTTGGAGACTGAGGTAAGCTGTGCAGCAGTTAACCATATCTATGTGACAGAGCTCCAATAAAATCTATGGATATCAAGGATCAAGTGAGCTTCCCTGGTTGGCAATACTCCATGCAGACTGTCTCACCTTGCTGTCAGAAGTCAATACTGTTCATGAGAGAGGACAATTGGAAGATCTGCATTTAGAAGACTCCTGGACTCTGCTCCATGTGTCTCTTCCCTTGGATAATTTTAATCTGAATCCTTTTATTGTACCAAACCATGGGTATAACAGCTTTCAGTGAGTTCTGTGAATCCTAGCAAATTATTGAACCTGAGGGTTATCCTGGAAACCCACCACTTGCCATTGGTGTCAGAAATAAGGGTGGTCTTGGGGACTGTTCTTTAACTCTGCAGCCACATAGTGAAAGCAGATGACTAGCTGGGGCAGTGGCTGAGCAAGGGAATTTTGGACCTAGGTCTCTAGGACTTCTAGTCTTGAACTTTTAACCTACTTGTTTCCTTCTTTTTTCCATCTATAAAATACCCCACTTGGGTGTTCTGAAGCTTGGCTCAATTTGCAGCTTTGAACAGAGCAGCTACAGGCTCAATGTAGTAACACCATCATTTCTTTAAAAAAAAAAGTTTATTTTTTTCCTCTGTACTTCATTTAAAAACAGTACATTTATACATGTATATAATACCTATAAAAACTACATATAGACACATAAAATGAAAAATGTGAGACAAAGTTGTAGCAAAACAATCAATCCGAAGAGAATTCTGGCCCCCAAAGAAACTACTATCCTTGATCTCCTTATCTACTGAGAGAAGTAGGCTTTCTTCACTTTCTCACTTCCCACTAACTTCCCACCCACCACAACCTGGCTTTCTTTTCTCTACTGCAACTACTTTCAAATTACCAAATCCAGTCTAAATCTCCTTGGAACACTCTGCTATATTTGATACCATTTTATTCCTCTTTTCTTCAGAGCCCCAAAAATTCTTGGTCTTAGTGTCAGTCACAGTAGAAATGAACTGTCCCAATGGAAAGAGACTGCAAGGTTCCCAACCTTGAAGACCTTACACTCTAGTGAGGAAGGCTCCTAAACATTATATTGGAAAGACTGATTTATGTAAAATGCTGTATTTGACTTGGTGTGACCCACATAATCTCTCTGTTGTATGGCTGGTCCATTTTCTTGTTAAGTCTTTATCTCCTCCACTCACCTATATTAAATATTCATGTATTCTAGCAGTCATGACTTTGCTTTGCTTGGATGATCTCATTGACTCTCACTGTTCTGACAACAACTATGTTTCCCAAGTCTGTCATCTCCAGGCCTGACCTGTCCTTGAGTTACAAACTCAAATACCCAATTGCTTGTGAAAGGTATCCATTTGAATATCCCAGTCACTCATAACCAATGTGCTGAAGACTGAATTATCCTCTCCTTCCTAAACTTTCTCATCCTTTTGTTTTCTCTTAGTTAATGGCACCATCACTTACCCACTGACCAAACCAGAAATCTAGGAGTCACCGTGACTCATCTTTATCCCTGATGAATCAAGCCTTGCCTCTTAAATATTTCTCAGATTTGTTCATCTTCCTCATTCCTCAGCTGGGCCCCATCATCTCTTTGTGCATTTCTATAGCCAACTAACCAATATCCTTGCTTCTTAGTCCCCTCTAAACTACCCTTTATATTCCAGCCAGAGGTGTCTAAAACATAATTATGACATCACCATTCCCCCTTTAAAATCTTCTCTGGCTTTCTACTGCCTCATAGGACAAAATATACATTCTTTTTTTTTTTTTAATATATTTTATTGATTTTTTACAGAGAGGAAGGGAGAGAGATAGAGAGTTAGAAACATCGATGAGAGAGAAACATCGATCAGCTGCCTCCTGCACATCTCCCACTGGGGATGTGCCCACAACCCAGGTACATGCCCTCAACCGGAATCGAACCCGGGACCTTTCAGTCCGCAGGCCAACGTTCTATCCACTGAGCCAAACCGGTTTTGGCCAAAGTATACATTCTTAAGCATGGCGTACCAGATCCTCCTTTGTCTCCTCTAGAATGACCTTTCCAGCCTCATCTCTAGACCTCTGCTTTGTACTTTTCCTTCAGCAATACCACACTGCTTGTTTGGGCCCAAGGCACCATGCAGTTTCTTGTGTACTGTACTTTTGCTCTTGCTATATTTCTAGTCCAAAATGCTTTAAGACCAGAGAGAGAATTAAAGGCCTACTCAACTAATGGCTACTACCATTTATTGAGTGACTCATGTGCTAAGCAAATTATATGCATTAAATTTAACATGCCTGCTTTACAAATGAAAAAACTGAAGATCAAAGATATTAAATAACTTGCCAGAGGTCACCTACTGGCAAGCTAAGAGTCAAACCTCCTTTACTCAAGGTTATTTCTACCTATATATTTTCTCTGTATTAAATGTTCTTCTAATATTTTGAGTTTATCACATTAAAAAAAATCTTTCAATACTACCAGTATAATCCAACACTGATTTCTGAGCAGCTACTTTCCTCCAAACTCAGATCCTAGACAAACTGAGTTTTCAAATAAATGAAAACTATATGGGGAAACCAATGTTTAGAATACAACTGCATTGTGGAATGGTAAGAGAATAAAATATAAATGACACTCCGGAATTGTGCAGTGTAGCAGCCCTAGTTTGGGTTTAACCAAGTGGCAGTACTTCCTATCAGTCATAGTCTTGGCTTGACATGATAGGTAAAGGCTTGAAACCTTTACCTAGGACAGTCAAATTAATGTTTAACCTATAAATGTAAAGAAAAAACAACCAAACCTTACCCTTAAACTATAGTTACAGAAAATAATATTCATATATAACATAGCACATAATGTAATGAATAACCCTCAATAGCAGGAAAGACTTACTTCCTCTTCAAATTTTTAATTATTTTTGGTAAATTTCCAATATGAAGTGAACTTAAGGTACTAAGTAGTGTTCACAGAGGTTACAAGAGCAGGAATATAAAAAAACTGATATTATAGGTGGCTGTGGCGCCAACATCTATAATAATAAAAGCATAATATGCTAATTAGACCTGACGACCTTCTGAACAAAGCTGAGGCTTCGAGGGAATCCTGGGTCCTGGGTGCCTGAGGGAAGCCGGTGCTGGCAGCCAGGGGAAGGAAGGCCTACTATTGCAAGAATTTTGTGCATTGGGCCTCTAATATTCAAATAACCAAATATCTGCAAAATCACCTGCAATACTAATGTGCAAATCAAAACATGGGCACCATAATCATTAATAAGCGGAAGCTGCTTGTGAACATCAATCAGCCTATATAGCTTTATTGGAAGCCTGCGAATATGGTGATGGGGTATATTCTGTCAGCAATTATGAATTCCTTGACATTTTTTAAAGGCTTCTTCAAGTATCTTAAATTAGCTAATTGCTGTCACCATATGGCAAGTAAATATGGCTCTCACAGTAGTTAACCTTCTGCTTTTAATCTTGACTGTACATTAAAATCACCCTGGAAGTTTAGAAAAACTGGTGCCTAGGTCCCACTCTAGTTAAACTTAAACTGAATATCTATGGGCAGGGCCCAGGAATCTGAAGTATGGTAGCAATCATCTCAGGTAGAAACTATAGTTTAACTTTAACCCTGTTGTTTGACTTCTGTACTTATTTGCTTGTTGTGCGAGGCAGCAATCTCTGGTGTTTACCTATGCCACCATCTTGGTTTCTCCTCCTTGACATTTTTTAAAGGCTTCTTCAAG